GAAAAAACACTTTATCGCGTTCCATTTTTCACAAAGCAAAAGAAATTGTTGTTTAGGAAAATAATTGTGTATGCTGACTGAATGTTATCGAGAAATGTCGAAATTAATCACAAACTACCTGTTTCGTTAGTAATGACTACTAGAACTGTTTGCATTGCCATCTAACATTTGCGGGCGGAAACTAAGTTAAGGTCCTAATATAATCGAACTGAATATCTTCTAAAATATATCATATAGATTTTTAAAGAGAAAGCGAGTGAGAGCGAAGCGTGTTTCGTCATTTCAGTCTTGTAACTTATCTCTAATTTCTACTAGAGTTTCTCTCTTATTTATATTCACGTCATTCCTAAAAGATGTAGGTGGACAAAATGCAGGCTAATCATCATATTTTGTCCTAACTCTGAGTAAAGGAACCCTAAGAAAAACTAAAATCCAAGTTGGTGTCTCTAAACAGGAGGGAAATTGCCAAGTTCTGAAGAGAACCTCACGATAAAGCTGGTAGATTAAACAAAATAAAAAGAGATTAATATATAGACTTCAGAGCCTCCAAATAAGCGTTGAGTGGAATATTGAGGTCGAAATTAGGATCAAAATTTTAAGTTGTAGTGTTTGAGACATCAAATCGAAATTGTTGAAAGATCATCGTTGATGTCGGTCTCGCGATGACTCGAGTGCGCTTCCCCGACGACGGCAAACGTTCCGTCGATCGCCGCGGCGAGAACAACGCCGTTACAACAACAATTGGAGAACCCGCCGATCGCCGACGTTAGCGACGCTTGTCGTTTTTCGCATAGTTGTCGAAGCGTCGGATAAGTTTGATCGTTAAGGCCAAAGAATGCGACATCGTATACATCGACGTAGCGTGAAACTTTTCGAGGAGCCGGGAGCGAGTTTAACAATCGTCGGCGTCGAACTCGCCGAGCAGTTGCGATATCGGCAGTAACGGCGGCGGGAACGAAAACGGGGTATATACACTGCGACGTAGATCGTAGGAATGAACACTGGAGAACGGAGGACGAGGCAACGGAGGAGAGAGGACGGCAAAGGGGTTAGGGAGAATCTAGGGGTGACAGGAGCAAGCTGGAACCTATAGTGGGGAACAAGAACGAAGTACGAAACGTGTTGGAACACTTTAATCGGACTGCAGTTACGAGTTCTAGTAGAGCCGACCTCGTGCCTCCGAGTTTCTCGATAGTCTTGTCGTGCAGCTTCTCCGCGCGCGCCTCGAGGACGTAGTCTGGCGCCCGTAAGGTTTCCGAAGAAAATGATTCCCGTAAACAGTCGTTTGTCACCGGACTGTTATCTTACCCAAATAAATTAGAAGCCGCGTTGCGTCTCTCTCTATCTCCCCTCCCTTCCTCTCTCTCTTTCTCTTTCACGCGCGTGCTGATTGCTCGATATCAGTTGCAAACAAGTTGGTATCGCAAATAGCAATATAATCGTATTTTTTCTCTTTTTTTTTTGCATGTTCTTTGAATGCTTCAACACGTTGTTCAAAGCTGCGTTCTCGCTGGTTCTCGGAGCGCGAAACCGCTTCCCGAGTAAAATCCGGGGATTGATCGGCGGATTGACGATAAATTGGGCGGTAACCAACGCCAATAATTAAATCCGTTCCGGAGTCACTACTAATTAATTGAACCACTTCGCCAAGGGAAGCAAAATCCTCGTTGACTTTGCTTCTGACAAATTGATCACCGCCTCGACTTTCTCTCTCTTACTCACTCACTCACTCACTCACTCACTCTCTCTCTCTCTCTCTCTCTCTCTCTCTCTCTCTCTCT